CTTAATGGTTAATCCACCCCTGCCTTCAGGTATTGAAGGGTGGGGTATAAATCCAATCTCTTCCTCCTCCAGTTTGGTGTGGTGGTTAAGTGTGCGGACTCTAATCTGGGAGAACCGGGTTTGATTCCCCACTCCTCCACTCGCAGCTGTTGGTGTGACCTTGGGTCAGCCACAAGCTCTGGCACAGCTGTCCTTGAAAAAGAGCAGTTTGTGTCAGAGTTCTCTCAGCCCCACCCACCTCACAGGGTGTCTGTTGTGGGGAGGGGAAGGGAGAGGAGTTTGTAAGCCGCTCTGAGACTCCAAGTGAAGGGCGGCTCTTCTTCTTCTCCTCTTCTCCTCCTCCTCTTCTTCTTGTACCGTCTACTCAGATTGGCAGTGGCTCTCAGGTCTAGGCCTTTCACATTACTTACCACCCGATCCGTTTATCTGGAGACTGGACCCAAGGACTTCTGCATGCAAAGCAGATGCGCGGCCACTGAGCCACGGCCCCTCCCCAGAGGTAAGCTGCTCCACACAGCAAAAGCCCCGGATAATGGCAAGTGCCAGCCTAGCCCGCAAGTTATACCCACTGAGGCACAGAGAACCGTCTCGGGGATACCTGCTCTGTATGCATGAAACTGATGCAACACTCGATTAAAAGGAAGCCTTCTGATCAATGGGCAATCACTCAGAGGAAGTAAAAAAAATGCGCGCAGACAACAATGGTGACCACCTGCCGCTTCTAGACAGCCCGCAACCAATGTTCCCTCTAAGCTGTGGAGTCTTGTGAGCAAAAAGTCAACTTTGTGAGCTGCTGGTATTAAAGTTGTGAGCGAGCATAAGAACATAAGAACATAAGAGAAGCCAATGTTGGATCAGGCCAAAGGGCCATCCAGCCCAACACTCTGTGTCACACAGTGGCCAGAAATATCAGGTGTCCCATCAGGAGGTCCAGCAGTGGGGCCAGGACATTAGAAGCCCTCCCACTGTTTTGCCCCCCCCCCCCCCCAAGCACCAAGAAGACAGAGCATCCCTTGCCCCAGAGCCCCTATCTATACCTTGTGGCTAAGAGCCACTGATGGACCTCTGCTCCATATGCTTATCTAATTCCCTTTTGAAGCCGTCCATGCTTGTAGTAGCGATTGGGCTACTGCATAAGTCAGTTTGCTCTGGAGCCCCATTCTCCCTGAACTAAGACAAAAATGTGTGAGCCGGAGGCTAAAAAATTGTGAGCTAGCTCACACTAACTCAGCTTAGAGGGAACACTGCCCACAACCCAAGTGACTCTCTGCAGGTCCAGGTTGCTAGATGATGCTGGGGATCCTTTTACACCTTTGAGTGGGCAGAGATGGTGGAGCAAGACGATGGCTTCAAGGGAGACAAAGCAGCTTCCCCAAAGTGAGCCTCTGTCCTGCAGCCGGGCAGCCGGCAACATGCAGAAGCCAAGCTGGCGTGCCAGGCAGAGCCTGGGGAGCGTTCCATGCTCAGAATCCACGATGCTACGGCTATTCTGAGTGGAGAGAAAAGGCTGCAGAAATTCCGGGGAAGAGCCTCCTTGAGTGCTGGGCGGTCACCCTGGAAGAGGATTCACAGAATCATAGAATGTTAAGAGTTGGAAGGGACCTTGCAGGTCATCTAGTCCAGCCCCCTGCACTCTGCAGGAGCAGAGCCGAAAGATAGCCCTGCAGCATACCCGAAAGATGGTCATCCAGCCCCCAGTAGAAAACATTCAGTGAAGGAGCCTCCACCACCTCCAGAGGCAGTCTGTCCCACTGCTCAACCACTCTGACAGTTAGGAAGTTTCTCCTGATATTTAGCTGGTAATGACTCCCTTGTAATTCCCACCCATTAGGTCTAGTCTTGCAATCCAGAGCGAGAGAGAACAGATCCGCTCCATCTTCTACATGACAGCCCTTCAGATACTTTAAGACTGCAATCATGTCCCCTCTAAGCCTTCTCTTTCCCAGGCTAAACAGACCCGACTCTTTCAACCTTTCCTCATAAGAGTTGGACTCCAACCCTCTCACCATCCTGGTTGCCCTCTTCTGGACATGCTCGAGCTTGTCAACATCCTTCCTCAAATGTGGTGCCCAAAACTAGACACAGTACTCTAATTTCCCCCCCTTGGATCTAGCCTTGCAATCCGGAGCAAGAGAGAATAGATCCGCTCCCTCTTCTGTGTGACAGCCCTTCCGATATTTGAAGGCTGCAATCATGTCCCCTCTAAGCCTTCTCTTTCCCAGGCTAAACAGACCCGACTCTTTCAGCCTTTCCTCATAAGACTTGGATTTCAACCTTCTCACCATCCTGGTTGCCCCCTTCTGGATCCAACAATGGGGCTGCTGCACTCGTGGCTTATATACACAAACGTATCCATGGCCCTTCATCCATCCTTCTCCCCCTCAACATGAGCTTTCTAATAATCAAAGAGAAAGTTGAATTGACACCACCACCCCTCCCCAATTATGCCTTTGGCATCAGGATACAAAACCCAAGAGATTCGTGATCCTCGGGTGGTTATCCTGAGACATGCTCTTGTCTACAAAGAAGGAATTCCAAACCAGTGATCTCCTTAACCACACATCTCTTACCTCCTGATGCCAGCTACTGCACCCTCTCTCTACCTTTCATGTGCGTGCACACTTCATCAGATGTCTGGGTCCCTGAACAAGTGTGCATGCGCATGAAAGCTTGTACCCAGAATTAAACTTTGTTGGTCATAAAGGTACCACTGAACTCACACTTCTCTCTCTCTCTCTCTCTCTCTCATGATGACTGTGTGTGGTCTTAAAGAAAAGTCATTTCCTCCTTCCCGCTACAGACGCCTACTCGATCACCTCCTTTCACATGTTCCAGGACCTCTACTGATCATTTCCTACGTGACATTCAAGAGAACCTTCTAAAGGGGCCACTCGTTGCTGCCCTGTTCTTCAAACGTAACAGAATTATTTTAAAGTAGATTCAAAGATTGATGACAAATCAAATTTAATGAATGTAACACGCAAATCATCCCCTTGGCACCCAATAATGCACCCATCTCCTCCTGCACTCTCACTGGAAGCTACACTATCCATGACAAAGATACTAATCCAAGCTATTTGGCATAAATTAACTATTTTTAACGCAGACTTAGATCCAGAGTGGCCAGTTAAGAGCCTAGAGATCTTCTCGAATGACAAGCAGTCTCCGGACGACAGAGATCCGGTCCCCTGGAGGAAATGGCTGCTGTGGATGGTGGACTTCATGGCCCCTTCCCCTACCCAAACGCTGCCCTTCCGGACTCCCCCTTCAAATCTCCAGAAGTTGGAAACCCTCAGCAAGCGAAGGGCCACGCCTAAAATCCAACCCCGATGGGCAGCCCGGCAAACATTCCTTCTTGTTCAGTTTTTGCGACTGCAATCTGGCAAGACACACACGGTACCAGGAAGCGGAAAGTCTCCCACTTTCATTCCTGCATGCTGATCACCCACCCGGTCATTCAAAGAGGCCTCAGAGCTGGGGAACGGGTACAGTCGGTTTCTGGTCCTTACAGGCGGCGTTCCTCAAGACGATGAATCATTACAAACACTGCTGAAGGGGGTTTTTTTTAATACTTTCAGAACAAGACAAGGATTCAGAGAAGACAAAAGGGAATGGACTTTAGGACAATGGAGATGGGGGAGGTACCTTCACTAGATGAACTGGGTGTGATCACTGGATCCCAAGTGGAAAGTATACACAAGAAAATGACTGCTTTCATATTCCACCTTTTCTCCCTCATGGAACTCAAGGCTTCTAAGAACATCAGAAGGGCCCTGCAGGATCAGACCTGTGAGGGTCCACCTAGTCCAGCATCCTGCCTCACACAGGGGCCAACCAGTTCCTCTGGAGGGCCAACAACAGGGCAGAGAGGCCGAGGCCTTCATAAGAACATCAGAAGAGCCCTGCTGGATCAGACCAGGGAGGGTCCATCTAGTCCAGCATCCCGTCTCACACAGTGGCCAACCAGTTCCTCTGGAGGGCCAGCAACAGGGCATAGATGCCAAAGCCTCCCCCAATGTTGTCTCCTGGCACTGGGATTCAGAGGTTGACTGCCTCTCAATGTGGAGATTCCCTTTAGTCACCCTGGTCGGTAGCCACCAATATATCTATTCTCCACGAATCTGTCCAATCCCCTTTCTAAAGCTGTCTATGTCTGCGGCCATCACTACATCCTCTGGCAGCAAATTCCCTATTCTCATGTGTAAGTACTAGGTTACTAGTAACCTATACTTACCTAGTAACTTACTTAGTAACCTAGAGAACAGGAAAAACCAACTGTAGAAAGTGCTCCGTAAGCATCAATGTCTATAGTCAGTCAGTCTACTGTACATACACCACAAACAACTTGTGGATGTCACTGCCACCAGTGTTCCCTCTAAGCTGAGACAGTGTGAGCTAGCTCAGTTTTTTAGCCTCCGGCTCACATATTTTTGTCTTAGCTCAGGAAGGATGGCTCCAGAGCAAACTAATTGATGCAGTAGCCAAATCGCTCACTCACAACTTTAATGCCGGTAGCTCACAAAGCAGAATTTTTGCTCACAAGACTCTGCAGCTTAGAGGGAGCATTGACTGCCACATGGTTTACCATTCACAGCCACCATCGATCGTGCAGAAAGATGCTTGGGTGATGGCCACTAGGACCCATGCTGGACTGCCTCACACAGTCATAGACAGCACAAATGAAGAGCCTTGGTGGTCAGGAGGCTACACAGGAATGGGCATGGTAAATCCTGTGTGCAAACACGTCCTAATTGAAACTCTCCTGCCAAAACCATTTGGGAAAAGGCTCCTGGGTTGGGAAAGCTCTTTCACACTGACGAGCATTTCTGTTTAAGACTGCGGCCTAGAGCAGCGAACAAGTTACAGCGCTCCACTTCCAAATCGTATTCCACATCAAGCTATACATGGGAGAGAGGATCCATTTTCACTCCAGCGTTGTACTCAAGACCTCGGTTCTTACCAGGCTAAACCGGAGCCGTTTCCCTTCTGCAGTTTCTCACCTGTCACATCTGTGGGCTGGAATGCCAGCTGAGAGTCAAAGCATCGGTCCCTTTCGTCCATCTTCCACGAGACGTTGTGGTCCAGAAATTCCTTGTAGGCCATCTGATCGTCCATGATTTTTCCTGGAGGCGCTGTGAAGTGAAAGGAAAGCAGCGGCACCGTTACAACTCTGCAGAACAGGGAACCTGCACCCATGGTCAATGGCCTGTTCCTTCAGAGAAGGGAGGCACTCAGGTAAACACACACGGAACGGCCTTAGACTGAATCCGACCATTAGTCCATCAAGGTCAGTATTGTCCAATCAGGCTAGCAGCAGCACTCCAGGGTCTCAGGCGGAGGTCTTTCACGCTACCTACCGCCTGACCCTTTTAACTGGAAAGCCTGGGGATTGAACCTGGGACCTTCTGCATGCCAAGCAGAGGTTCTACCACTGAGCGACGGCCCCTCTTTACAGCTCTCCAGGGTCTCAGGCCTAGAGGTCTTTCCCATCACCTACTGCCTGGTCCTTTTTAACAGTAGGGACCTCCTGGGACCTCCTGCATGCCAAGCAGATGCTCTGCCATCGAGCCACAGGCCCTCTTTACAGCTTGCCAGGGTCTCAGGCAGAGGTCTTTCATGCTACCTACCGCCTGATCCTTTTAACTGGAAAGCCCGGGGATTGAACCCGGGACCTTCTGCATGCCAAACAGATGCTGTCACCACTAAGCTACAGCCAAGGTCAGTCCTGGATACTCAGGCTGGCTACTGCTCGCCAGGGTCTCCGGCAAAGGGTCTCTCTCTCTCTCATGAATTTCTACCTGGTCCTTTTAACAGGAGATGCTGGGGACTGAGCCTTGGGTTTTCGGCATGCAAACCAGATGCTCCAACCCCTGAGCCATAGCCCCTCCCACACTGACTGAGAAGAGGAGCACTTTCACGCCACCCCTAGAAATTTGAATTTCCCCATCAGGCAAGTCGACTTTCTGCCCAAGCCCTCACTGCTGGACACAGGCGACAAATGACGTGCGGGCCATGGAAACGCTCGCCCCCCCACCACTGCAACAGCCATCCCCGAGGACGGTACGTGGGCTGCGAGGCAGGCCCATGTAAATAAGTCTGATAGGACTGAACAAAGCGAACTATGTTGGAGACCTCGTGGCAGGAAGTTGGTGCATAAAACGCTGCTCCTTTGACCGAGGCAATTTGCATTGGATCTCTGCTGCCTCTCCGACCTCAGGAGCAGGATGTTGCACACCTGACAGCCGTTTTCCATACCGGGCAGGGCTGCTGGGCACCTGCAGGATTCCCATTTAACCAAACCGGGGGCTGACATCTTTTGAATGTACCCAGGAGAGTCAACGCCAATGTTCCCTCTAAGCTGCGGAGTCTTGTGAGCAAAAATCCTACTTTGTGAGCTGCCGGCATTAAAGCTGTGAGCGAGCGATTTGGCTGCTGCATAAATTAGTTTGCTCTGGAGCCCTCCTTCCTGAGCTGAGACAAAAATGTGTGAGCCGGAGGCTCAAAAACTAGCTCACACTAACTCAGCTTAGAGAGAACACTGGAACGCCATTCCACCTTTAAGAGTCAGATGGCTTAACAGCTTCATATCCCAGTGCGCATCTTCAGAGAAGCAACATTGCCCTTTTAGAACTGGCACCCTTGGGAAAGTTTTTAGCTGACCACCACATTTTGATCCTGCTCTTACTCCAAGAGGCACAGGGTGGTGTGAATGGGAGCTGACCTATTTTCTATCCTAATGATCCTGTGAAGTTTTAAGTTCAGAGAGAGAGACAGAGACGAGAGAGAGACAGAGACAGACAGACAGACTGGCACACTGGGAATTCAACCACAGACTCCCCTGCCCCAGGTCTAGTACTCCGCCTGCTATACCACACTGCCTCTATCTTCAGTGGGCTCAAGGCTGGGGGGAACCAAGCTGTCAGGTTGCCCAATTGCTCTGCTGGAAACATCTGCATCACCACCATTACTGCAGAGGGCAATTTGCTATACGATCCAGATGATGGGACTGTACGCCAAAAACTAAAGGCATTCTCCAACTACAACAGTTACATTTGAGTTATTACCTTTGTTAATATTATCTAGTTGGGAGCCCGTTTACGTGGATCGTCATACACCAGACTGTGAACCCTTCATGGGTCCATGATAATCATGTGAAATTGTCCTTTTTGTGAAAGGGTATATTGACTGATACGACAGACACGATTGAAAAAGATCTTGAAACAAGGTCCCATCTGGAATCCTTGTGTATTATTGACTCCACGGCTGCATACAGAGTCCAGAGCCTGCGTTACTTGTGAGACGTTTGCATCACTCCTGCAACTGTTTACACACTGATTTATACCACATGGCTCTTTTTGCGGGCAGTTCAAAGTTATGAGCCGGGTTTCGTTTACGATTTTTTTGTTGTATGTTTATGTTGTAACACTGATTGTGAAAATTATTGTCCTTAAGACATTTGGTAGTATAGTATTGCTAATAAAGTTTCCATTTTAGAGCAGTAAGGCTACATGCACCTATAGTCCCTTCTACCAAAAACTAAAGACAGACACTTCATTAAGGTTATCTTTTACTCTGCATGGACACTTTCACCGACGCAAGTGTTCAACTAGCACTCCAGAATGCAATTTGTCCCTAACTATTCAGATGACCCAACAACAAACAAATTGCGAGGGGGGGGGGGATGCCTGCCACCATTCCCTGTCACCAATGTTCCCTCTAAGCTGAGTTCGTGTGAGCTAGCTCACAGTTTTTTAGCCTCCGGCTCGTACATTTTTGTCTGAGCTCAGGAAGGAGGGCTCCGGAGCAAACGAATTCAGGCAGCAGCCAAACCGCTCGCTCACAACTTTAATGCTAGGCACTCACAAAGTAGAATTTTTGCTCACAAGACTCCACAGCTTAGAGGGAGCATTCCCTGTCACCTACAGGAATTATGAAGGGAACGCTTTCCCTTCCGATTTGTATGTGGCCCCCCACCTGGTGGAACAGCCTGCCTGAGGAGGTCAGGAAGGCTCCCACGCTCCTGTCATTCCACAAAATCGAGAGGGTGCGGAAGAGAGCGACGAGGATGATCAGGGGTCTGGAGACTGAGCCCTACGAGGAAAGGCTGAGGGCCTTGGGAACGTTCAGCTTGGAGAAGATTGAGGGGGGACATGACTGCTCTCTTTAAATATCTGAAAGGCTGTCATTTGGAGGAGGGCCAGGAGCCCTTCTGGTTGGAAGCAGAGGAGAGGACCCGAAGCACCGGGTTGAAAGGACATGGAGAAAGGGGGGATCGTCTGGATATTAGGAAAAACTTTTTCACGGTCAGGGTGGTTCAGAGGTGGGATCAGCTGCCTCGGGAGGTGGTGAGCTCCCCTTCACTGACAGCTTTCGAGAAGAGGCTGGACGAATATTTGCCAGAGATGCTTTAGGCTGGTCCTGCATGGGGCAGGGGGTTGGACTAGATCAGTGATGGCGAACCTTTTAGAGACCGAGTGCCCAAACTGCGACCCAAAACCCACTTCTATATCGCAAAGTGCCAACACGGCAATTTAACCTGAATACGGAGGTTTTACTTTTTCTAAACAACTCATACATTAATTTAAGATGATCCAAACAAAGTAAGGAACGCAATCCCAAATGCTTTCATTGACTTAAAATTATTTGGCAGAGAATTCCACACTTTAATGACGGTCTGGGCCTGGCTGGGGCGATGGCACGCGTGCCCACAGAGAGGGCTCTGAGTGCTACCTCTGGCACCCGTGCCATAGGTTTACCGCCACTGGACTAGATGGTCTGTATGGCCCCTTCCAACTCTATGATTCTATATGAAATAGAACTGTTCAGCAGCGTATTTCTATAAAGGCCGTGTGGTGGTAGAAAGTGCTGTTGTTGCGGCTGAATTATGGCGACTCCGTAGGGTTTTCAAGGCAAGAGATGTATGGCTGTGTAGCAATGGAATGGTTCAGGAAGGCTGTTGTAATGGGAAAGGAACTAGAGACCGCCTCCTGTGTGTTATCCGTTCGCTGCATACATTATCCTGTGCCGTCACTGCACTATTTTCGGCTGATGGCATAACCTTTTTATGCCTTGCATCTGCATTCCGTATCACGTCTAACATTATACGCTTGTTCGTATTTCTGGAATCTTAGTCTTACTACACTGCTTGGCAGCCGTCTCGTCAAATCGAATGCACCCATGTACACTGCGTAATCCACTAATAGGCTCAGTGGGAAAGGTGGGCTAACGCAAATAAATAACATAAAAGATGACACTTTGGGATGATATTGCCTTTCTAAGTAAAGCTGTTATGTGGGTTTGATCAGTCAGCAACACATCAAGATTAGCGATCGGTGGCTCAGCCTTGAGCCTCTTGAAGGACCTGAGCGAGATTCGAATCCAGAAGCGCCTGAGAGACCAACAAGATCTTTGGGGTATAAACTTACAAGAGTCAAAGCTTATATCCCCCAAATAATGTTGGTCTCTACAATGCTACTGGACTCAAATTCGTCTCTTCTACTGCAAATCTGTCTCTTTTACTGCAAACCAACACGGTCACCCCCCTGAAGCAATACTGAAGGGCCTGCTTTCCGTTGGCCTCCCACACACATTCTAACTCTCCCCCTAAACCCACTGTAGTGGATTTCCTTCCGTGGAATAGGCTCAGTGAGAAAGGTGGGCTAACGTAAATAAAGAACATAAAAGATGGCACTTTGGGATGATATCGCCTTTCTAGGTAAAGCTGTTATGTGGGTTTGATCAGTCAGCAACACATCAAGATTAGCGATCGGTGGCTCAGCCTTGAGCCTCTTGAAGGACCTGAGCGAGATTCGAATCCAGAAGCGCCTGAGAGGCCAACAAGATCTTTGGGGTATAAACTTACAAGAGTCAAAGCTTATATCCCCCAAATAATGTTGGTCTCTACAGTGCTACTGGACTCGAATTTGTCTCTTCTACTGCACATCTGTCTCTTTTACTGCAAACCAACACGTTCACCCCCCCCCCTCGAAGCAATATTGAAGGGCCCGCTTTCCGTTGGCCTCCCACACACGTTCTAACTCTCCCCCTAAACCCACTGTAGTGGATCTCCTTCCGTGGCTACACTTGGAATGAAAGGCCACGGTCCAGCCTACCTGAGGGACCGCCTTGCCTC